TTTTTTTTCATTTTTTCCAGGCACTTTTGTCCTCCTGGATGGAGAAACCTTTGAAGTGAAAGGAAATTGGGAAAAAGGAGGAAAAATCCCCCCCATGGGCTACGATTTCTGGTACCAACCCCGRCACAACGTCCTCATCAGCACCGAGTGGGGCATCCCCAAAATCCTGGCCCAGGGCTTCAACCCCCAGGATGTGGAAAAAGGTGGGTGGAAAAATCAAAAAATATCCCATTTTGGGGTGAAAAAATCAAAAAAAAATCATTTTGGAGCGGAAATTCCTAAAAAATTCCAATTTTGAGGTGAAAAATTAAAAAAAAATCCATTTTGGAGTGGAAATTCCTAAAAAATTCCAATTTTGGGGTGAAAAATAAAAAAAAAAAATCCATTTTGGAGCGAAATTCCTAAAAAATTCCAATTTTTACGGCAGAAATTCCTAAAAAATTCAAATTTTTACAGCGGAAATTCCTAAAAAGATTAATTTTTTTATTACGGAAATACATAAAAAATTGAATATTTGAAAGCAGAAATTCCTTAAAAAATGCATTTCTTATAGCAGAAATACCTAAAAAATTGAATTTTTGAGAGTGAAAATTCCTAAAAAAAATTGAATCTTTGGCACTTGAAATCCCTGAAAATTTTCATTTTGAGCAGCAGAAATTCCTCAAAAAATTCCACTTTCCAATGCGAAAAGTTGGGGAAAAATCCCATTCTTGAGCACGAAAACACCGAAAAACCCCATTTTTTTTCCCTTCAAATCCTGTATTTTTTTAACAAAAACCAACCAAATAATATTTTTTTCTGTAAAAATTTAATTTTTTTTATTTTAATTTTTAATTTCCAGGGCATTACGGGCGTCACATCAATGTTTGGGATTGGAGCAGCCGTTCTCTGATCCAGGAGATCGATTTGGGAAAAGGCTCCATCCCCCTGGAAATTCGMTTCCTGCACGACCCCAAAGCTTCCCAGGGATTTGTGGGATGTGCCCTGAGCGGGGAAATYCAGAGATTCTTCAAAACCCAGGTGGGATTTAGGAATTTTGGGAAAAAAAAATGGAATTTCGGGCCTTTTTCCTTGTTTTTTTAGGGTCAAAATGCGGAATTTGGGGGGGTTTCTCTCTTTTTCTTGGGACAAAATTCAGCCTGGAATTGGGGGTCTTTCAATCCTTTTTTTGGGACAAATCCCAGGTGGGATTTAGGGATTTTGGGGAAAAAAAATGGAATTTTGGGGGAAAAAAGATGGAACTTTGGGGTTTTTTTCATGGTTTTTTAGGGGCCAAAATGCGGAATTTGGGGTTTGGGGGGTTTTTTTGGCACAAAATTCAGCCTGGAGTTGGGGATTTTTCCATCCTTTTCTTGGGACAAATCCCAGGTGGGATTTGGGGATTTTGGGGAAAAAACCTGGAATTCCAGGGGTTTTTCTGTGTTTTTCTTGGGACAAATCCCATTAAACCGAAACTGGGAATCCTGGAATGGTTTGGGCTGGAAAATCCTAAAAAAATCCTTGAAGAAGGTGAAGGAATCCCTTGGATTTCTTGGATTTTCTCCTCCTTATCCCAAATCCAGGACTGGGAGCTGCACTTGGGAAAATCCTCGTGGATTCCTCAATAAAATTGGGGATTTTTGGGAATTTTGGGAGGATTTTTGGATGATAATTCCCAAAATTTCTTCCTGCAGGAAGGCAAATGGGCAGCAGAGAAGGTGATTGAAGTTCCCTCCAAGAAAGTCCAAGGGTGGCTCCTCCCGGATATGCCAGGTCAGTGGGAAAAATTGGGAAAAACTGGGAAAAATTGGGAAAAATTGGGAATTTTCTCCATGATCCGGAGCCGGTTTTGGCCGAAATTCATCCTTAAATGGCAAAAAAAATCCCAAATTTTTGGGTTCTTTGAGCAGTGATTCCAGTATGAGCGAAGGTTCCTCTGCTCGAGGTGGGATTTTCCAGGAAAATTCTTGGAATTTAGGTCTGAATTGGCTCCATGCTCTTTTTTTCCATAAAATTCCTTGGAATTTGAGTCTGAATTTGCTCAGGAATTATCTGGGAATGCTGAAAAAACTTGGAATGATCCCAACATTAATTCTCCATAAAAACCCCTGGAATTTGGGTCTGAATTTGCTCAGGAATTATCTGGAAATGCTAAAAAACCTTGGAATTCTTCTCATCCCACTTTTCCCGCCCCATTTTTTGGCGCTTCCGAATTTTGGCACCAAAATTTGGGCGGGAATTTTGAGTATTCCCGGATTTTGGGGAATTCCCTGATTTTTTTTTTTTTTTCCTTTGGAATTTTTTCCTCCTGGAAGGGCTCATCACAGACATCCTGATCTCCCTGGATGACAAATTCCTGTATTTCAGCAATTGGATCCACGGGGACGTGCGGCAGTACGACATCTCCGACCCCAAAAACCCCAAACTGGTGGGGCAGGTGAGGAAAA